TATGTCCGAGAAATTATAGTACAGTTAACCAGAGAACTCAAGTAGATATATCTAACTATGATAAAGACAAGAGGTTATTTATTGTGACCCTGATTTCCCTCTATATTGTGCCTGTGTATCAATAAACTATTATCTCGTTCTTATCGGGTTCTTGGTAGTTGGTTGAACTTTGACTACTTGAATTCCTGGTATCGTAAATCAGGAGATCTATTGATCAGGTACTCAGTCTGGTATTTAATTTATTGATTGTTTTATCTAATAATTAAGTTTTTATTTTATAGTATCTATTGTCCTAGTGGTGTAGTGTGGGTTACTTATATCCACATAAGCAGTATATGATGATGGTCAGGCATAGGATGTTATGTGAACAGCGAGACAAGAAGCTTCAACGAACTACGGAGTCTATTTTTTGGGACGTTATTTCATTTAATTCAAAGCTTGTAAAACAGTAACATTTACTTTTACCCCTTGTCTATTCTACAGATCATAAGCTTTCGTTTGATGTATAATTCACTGTCATAACCTTTTCTGTTCCAAAGCTATTGTAATTTAGACGTAATCTTTTGTACTCGAATTTCTACTCTAACCCTAAAGTTTTGGACATAATTGTATCTCCCTAATTGTTGAGCGTTGTGGTCGGGTTAGTCATTTATTTATTCATGTATCTTTTTTACACTGATCTGAAATCGAGTAAAAGGTCGGAATCGGGGATAAATCGAGTAGTGTTCCAGTTGTTTTGTCTTCTCTCTCGCGTGTGCCTGTCAGCCAATGAGAGATAAAATAGTTTTCGTCTCTCTACCCCCACTTCGAACTCAAGCACACTAGCCTCAAGGTTAAGTCAGTCAGCCTATCACGTCAAGGTCTTAATCCACATTAGACAAATTATCCTCGGCACAAAAGTGGGTAGACAGATCAAGGACGTAACAGAATATATTTCAGTAGAAGATCGATAAGGAACGCACAGGAATGAAGTGCAATCGGTACGAAAATGCATGAACAATGAAATCAGAGAAGACGGACTGATACTTGCAGAAGAAACAGTTAAGATTGAGACAATCGATTGTTATTTTGCAAATTAACTGTTGACTGTATGGTTATGAGAATTCAGTGAGATAGTCTGTGATTTGTGCTTAAATACATTTGATTGTTCCCAATCGTGTTTTTGTTCACTACAGTGGTAGTATTAATCGAATTTCTAGCGCTATAACAAGTTTCATAAGCATAATCATCTCGCTAAAGTCAGTATATATTAAAATATCCTATATATATTCCAATCTTTTTTTCATATTAAATATATAAAAACAAAAGTAATTTAAAACTTTATTTACACGGAAAGGATTATGTCAACAAATAATTAAAAAAAAATCATTTCAGTCGAAATGATTACCAAAATCGATTACTTACTTACTCACTTACGCTTGTTACCCTCTGATGAAGGAGCATAAGTCACCCACCAAAATTGATAAACAAATAATAGTAAGGAATGGATATTACAATATGAAAAGGAATATGGTTACATAGTATATAGGTATATAAATATTAGTCATTATTGTTATATCTCGTGGAGGTTTATGAATAGCAACTTTAAGAACTATTTATGGACCAATATGATATGTTTATTTCCTATTGTATAATTGTTAAGTAACTAAGCTATTCATATTCGTGTTTCTCTTATTATAAGCTTTATTTTGACCTATAGACTATTATGATACGATTTGCCCTTGTTGAATTATCCTTAGTCCATTAATTACTGTTCCCCCTATTCACAGCCACTTTTGGCCAAATCTTGTACATATGTTATCTTCTATTTTTATGGTACGATGTGGTCAGTTTGTTTGGTATATAAACCCAATATGTTTGAGAATAATGATTTATATTACAGAGGCTGTTATTGGTGTTCTAGACTTAACTGGCTGGGCTAGACAGAAAGCCGGACTGATAAATAGTCAAGACCGCTCATACGGCTTTTGCGTATGATTGTTCTGATCGATAATTCACTCTTATCTAATTGGCGGGAATCAGCACGTTCATATATTATACAGGGCACATAAGCACTAAATCGATATAACAATTATGTAAATGAAATAAATCTTTCTTATTGTGATAACTTTTATTACACTAACAATGAAACCAGTGAGATTATAATTTATGGATGACCTTTGAGCGATACCTTAGTGACCTTGAGAGTGTCAATCTAATAACTAGCACCGAATCAGGGTCACAAACCAGTGTGAGGAATTAGAATTATGATTTACAGTTGATAGTTAGGGTTAGGAATTAGATTTATGGTCTTCATCACAAACTGACATCAGCTATAATGCTAAAACTCTATTTAGTCAAGTGTATGAATGAACTTCGCGCTCAAATCTGAGACCTTATCTTATACCTGATTGATTCATCCATAAATTATAGTCTCGACAACTATTTTTATTGGGCATGTAGCTGAACATGGTGTGACTTTGATTAGGTATTTTTCTTTAAAAAAATATATAAATTTTCATGACAATTTTTAATGTTACTTTTTATTCGGATAAATAAATTCAATGTAACATTATTCTGTATTAGAATGAATGAAATAAATTAACCTGATTTGTAGTTTATTTTATCAGTATGAGGTTGTGGAGATTGTTAGATTTTTGATTGAGATCATGGATCGAATGATGTTAAACCATGATTGACAACCTGAAAGATGGTGGTACAATTTCACGGATTGGTTAAAGTTAGACATCAACACCGTTGGATGCCGGCTCAGTGGTCTAGAAGTTAAGCGTTCACGCGCGAGACCAAAGGTTCTGGGTGCGAATCTCGCGTGCGGGGTCGTTGATGCGCAATGCTGAGAAGTTCCATACTGGGACGAGACGGATGTCCGGTGCTTTCAGGTTTTCAATGGTGGTTGAATATCAATCGATTCATGATCTTAATTTATTTTAGTTGTAATAAAATGATGAATAACGTTATAAATTGCCATCGTTGTTTAAAGTTATCGCATCTTATGACATGTGAAAATAAAACAACCAATAAATACATGAAAACATTGGGGATTTAACAGAAAATGTATGAATAGATAAGGGGTAAATGATGATGAGTAATGAATTGTGGCGGGGGTGTTGTTTACCTAATTGAGAGGACGAAAGGCGAATGTCCGGCGCTTTATCTAGGTTGGTGGACATGGAGAGTTCACCTAGGGGAGTTGGAAAACCCTGATTTCGAACCAACCGTGCACATGGGCTCCAGTATCCTGAGGAAACAAATGGTGTATGAATCAATCGTTGGTCACTGACTACCATGGGACTGCCTTGTGGATCAGACCTTTAGGTCAAAGGCTCCGGGTGTGGCACCCTTAAGAAAACCACCTGCTTCAGTTTGGGCACCTGGGCAGTATCATAGCCCTCATACAAATCGAATGACATTTGTGTGGCGCATATTTATCTGGTGCTTCCTTGTAACAATATTTATGCGTTTAAATAAATAATTTAAACTATTTAATGAATCAGAAAACATTTCAAACTTTTGCATTATTCTACATTGATAACTTTTCTAATAAAATGTCTTTTTTTCTATCCATCTAGCTAAAGTATGTTCACAAACGAAATAAAAAAAGCAGATTTTTATACGGAACAAAGTATATAACAAAGTTTATTAGTTATTACTGTTGTTATTTACTATCATTGCATTACAATGTATATTAAATTAATATCAGAAGGGGTTGTTGTGGATATTATAGTAACTTCAGTAGTACAGATCATGATGGTTTAAGAAAAGCTGCAGAACACTCACCTTTTTCTGACCTGAGACGAAATTGGTCACCCCAATCACTTCCCCAATGAACCGAGCCGCCCGATCTGTGCATTCTAATCTCTGACTAATATTAAAATATCTGCCTAGAACGTTTTCTTGAGAATATTATCTGACTAATGGCGTTGCTCGATCATGATTGCATCAGGGCCCTAATCTGTTGGGGATTAGTCAGAGATGAGGAAAAGATATCGTTTATCGCACCAAGTTCCCCTCACTTTAATGGGGCTTTTTAACAAAACATAAATGACTGTTGATGGGGATGCGCGGATTAGTCCTGGTGCTTAGTACGACGTCAATGACGGTTAAAACATACGGAGATGCCAGAGGGTTTTCGGATAAGTTCAAGTAAAACAAGCCTTTCGAATCGGCAGACGAAGTTGTACGACTTCGTCAAAGTTTTAAATACGTGTCCCGGATATACGGCAAACATCGATGTCAAAGCTTTCCAAAATCACCTAACCCCATTTGTTGTCGTATATGCATATTTGTGCGAAAGCTGAAGGAGCCTAACCTGAATGGTACACGTCGTTTCAGAAAACATGATTCGGATTCCCTATTCAGTGGTAGCATTTGAAATGTCAACCGACTTGAGATCGTTTACACAGGACAGGAATTTCAGCACAGAACAGTTTCTAACGGAGTTTAGAGAATACAAATAAAGAATAAAAGTAAAAAGAAGAATATTGGAGCTTTTGAAGTACATTTATAGAAAATTGATTTTAATTATCAAATAAATAGGTAGTGCGACAGATCTAGGTGTTTTCTTCAAGATTATCATTCTAAAAACACTAGACAGTGTTGTTGGCGGAACACTATGGAAAAAAGTTCAAACCTGTTACCCAATAGATAACCAAAAATGTGAACTATGGAAACTAAGGTCCTGTCCTCTAGAAGTTGTATCAGCTCTTCCTTGCAATAAATATTCACTGTTTAAACTAATTAGTATGCTACTTGATAGGAGGCTGAGCTAAAATGCCTGGACCTAGATTTCATGCTCGTTAAATTGGTTTCATGGAATCGAGAACGTGAATGAAGACTTTCTAGTGAGTAATTATCCTTTCAGAATCAACTTAGAACATACCAAGCCTTTTCGCAAGGAACTTGCGAGTAGAATTGATGTATGCCCTCGTCCAATTTTTTTACGTGGCCAGATATTGATTATATATATACAAAACCGCAGAGAGACAGAGCAATACAATTTTGAATTTAGGATTTATCTTTTTTTGCTTATTTGATTAGATCATTCTTTAAAGAACTTGACCAAGGGTATTATGATTTCAAGGTAGAAGTATTTAAACTAATATAAATCAAACAAAACGATTAAAATTGACAAGTTCAATAATTGATAAAAGATAACAGCTATAGTCAGCAAATGGAAGTAAACTAAGAAATGAAATGCTAATGAACACAAGTCATTACTATAAAAAAGTCTTGAACATTTAAGAAAGAGACATTAGTAATATCAGAATGTAAATTATTATAATATGATAATGTGATTATTCACATAGTTGTCTGTTCCACTCTCTCGTATATGAATGCATAAACGGAATGAACACAAGAAACGAAACAGAACATGATAAAACGGAAAATGTTTTTTTTTTAAAAAAAAATCAGTATCAAACCATATAAACTGATCAGTGTACATGGGGGAAAAAGATATGAGTGGTAACAGTTATCCCCCCTCCATACAATGGCAACAACAACAAAATGAACAAAATAAAATATCAGGACACTGAAGATATACACTAGTGAAAGAAAGAAAAAAAGAAGAGAAAACACAAAATAAGCAGGAATAGCAGCAAGTGTAATGATGATGATAATGAATGGTGCGCACATGCATAATAATTGGTTAAGGTTTATTGCACAGTTAGGCATATCTATAATAATAACAATAATAATAATGTATTATGAGTAAAAAAAATAACAAAGGCTGAAAGAGAGAAACAACAAATAACGTAATACAAAGAAATAGTAATAGTCGTAATAAGATTGACGACAAGTTTTACAGACGGCATTTATCCCTATTAGTTGGATTTACTTAAAGGAAACTATGTTGTATTGACTAAGAGGTTACTATTCAACATTAAGGCAGAAATATTAGCATCAATAAGAGAATTTATACATTCAATTAAGAAGATATGAAATTGTTCACCGATTACGTAATTATTTGAATTTAGTATGCAATAATAATAAATCAAGACAAGTAAATAAAAAAAGCCTAAACAACTAATAGATAACATTCAATGTTATTATAATAGTACTTAATATGCTAATAACACTTTTTTTAAATGGTGAACATTCACTTGATTTGTTCTTTTTATATATTCGGTTAGATTTTAAGAAGATAAGTCGATATAAAAAGAACAAACAAACAAAGAGATTGAACAAAGAATGGTATATAAAACAAACATACAAACAAAGAGGTTTATTATACTCTATTATGTAAATTATATGCAAGTATAGTTGATCTATTCTCTTTTATAGCTATTGGAAAACAGAGTATATGAATACAAAGCTGGACGAAGTACAATCCTTGTTCAATAAGATAAACAGACAGAAAGAGAGAGAGAGCTACATGTACATGTTTACAGAAAGTAGGGATGCTTATGCACACATACACATACACTGAAAGATTTTGAAGTATAAAAGAAGAGTTAACGAGGCAACATTTGTGAATGATTAATTGATTGATTAGTAACTTAATAGTTTCTAAAGCAATATTTTTTTCTGTAAAATTTATTTATATAACTGAAGGTAAATCATCAACAAAATTTGATGGAAATAGACCACATCGTCCATCGGATGTACGACCACGCCACCAATTTTCATCATTACGACTAATCACTTCAATAACATCACCACGATGTAAAGATAATTCACCAGCACCTTTAGTCTCAAAATCAAATCGGGCTATAACTCGATCAAGTTGATATTTTCGTACATTAGTAGGGAAACGCTAAATGAATAAGATAGGATTTAAGAAAACACTCTGATTATTTATTACAGAAATAGAATAAATTAAACATACTACAAATAATCAGCATTTTTGCACCTGAGTGATACGTCAAACGTATTAAAACAAAACCCTAGTCACATTAGATAATTAATCGTAATATATACATTGATAGGTCATTAAGTAATAGCCAATATCGTGATTGTCTAGTATTTTCTTGGTATTGGTTGAATTATGTCGATCACGTTGAAATATAGTCACTAGTTTTAGTAACTCGAAATTGAGTCCATTAAGATTTAAGCGGTTGAAAGTAGAATCGGCCGATAGAATTCAATCAACACTAAGGAGCAGACAAATATGATAGTGTTATTAATTAGTAATCAATTAATGTAAATATCTCAGTCGTACAGGAAGTCTTAAGTAGTCAGAATAACTCATTGGTAATGTTATGGACTGAGGTACTGAGTGATCAGAGTTTGAATGGACTAGAAAATATCAAGTTCTTCAAGTTTTCAGGTACACCTTGTTGATGAGTGTCAACTAGCACACAAAACCCAAATTCAAGGTTATCTGTTGACTACATTCAATCATCGAAGAACGTAAATGTATATATTTGTCATATATAAGTACAGTATTATTATTATTACTAAGAAATTTGTGGACAAATAATAAATTGATACAAATATCACATATTAGTTGAGAAAAATATCTTTAACTGCAGTGTTAGAGAAGCTGTCTGTGGTAGATTGTACAACGATGATGACCAGTTGATATTAGAATGGCGATTCGAACCCCGCGTTAATAACTTAAGTTCACTCAATCATGCAGTAGCAATTATTGCTATATGTAATATGTGTACATGAATTCACAACTGATAATTGAGTTACATAAAATAAATAGTTCCTGTCTGACAATTTAACACAGTAACGAAAATGTAAATACACTAATTATTAACGATTGCCTTCAATAAAAAATATGAAATACAATGATGAGAAACAAAACGAAACTATCACATAATTAGTTATTATAATCTAGGAGAGAACAAAAGCAAATAATTGGACAGAATAATATGAATTTATTTTAGGTTGTAAAGTTCTCACACACCACGGAAGGGTTCTTCCAAAAGCACCTGAAAAGGAAATTGCGTTAAAGTTGATATTATCGACTTGAGAGCATGACCGCAATACCCAAGGGACAACTGCTTGAGGCCGGTCATAAATGACCTTTTTGTGTTAGCTCCGTACTTGTTCAGACCTTAACGCCGGAGATGGAAATCAGTGGGATAGGGCAGTATGCATTTTTAGGGTCAAGTTTGTTTAGTCCCACCCTTCCTTTGTGGGTATATATATATATATATATATATATATATATATAAGAGAGAGAGAGATTATGAGATAAACTGAGTAGGTGAGCGTGAAAATAGAATGTAAAATATAACGTGTACTGAATAATATATTTGGTACTTAAGCTATTGGATACTGACTTCGTAAATGTTTTTTAGTGCCTAGGAATCTTCTAGTCTTCATAAAATATGAAAGAAATTTCACTCTTAAGGTTAGTATACATAGTGAGTACAAAAGGTATTCATAGGTTTGTATGTGATGAGATTGTTTTCGGTAATTATCCAATCGGGATATAAATAATCTGGCTCAGTGGATAACGTATTGGGAGTTTGAAGTGAAAGGTAACAGATTCGAGTTCGTTGGGGTAGAGGTGTATCTCATTGATGAGTCTAAAATAAGACTAAAACAAAGTCATGTATTCCACCGTTAGTGGCGATCCGCATCAGATGAACATGTGTCGACAATGACCGTTAAAAATTCAATTGAGAATATCAACAAAAGGATGACTTAAACCTTTTTAATAGTGGTACAAAGTAATAAATCATAGTAAAAAAAGAAATTACAATATTAATGAAAAGTTGTGCATAGATTTTTTCCAAATAAGTAGCTTGAAGCGTTTATGCGAGAACATTGAATAACACCTACGAAAAGCGGTAGATTAGTCAGTCAGTCAGTAAGTTATAAACAACATAAAGGCAGGCAACAATTTACATTAGCCCAAGTTGTCACAACACAATGGAATGAATTGAACAAGAGGAGTAGTATAAAAGGAATTGAAATAACTGTAGTGGTAATGGTAATGCCAAAGACTAAGCATTGAGAATATAGTTTTTTTTTTAAAAATCAAAGAAAAGTTATGTATGAATAAATAGTGGAACTGAAGATCTAAAGTAAGATAAAGTGTGAAAGCATTTGTCCTATTGTAAACAATCCCGGTCTTGCAAATTCGCCGCAACTGAATAATTATTGCACAGCAATTTATTATCTATTTACTTAAACACATAAATATTGGTACAAAGGTACACCAGATATATATGCGCCGCACAAATCTCATTCGATTTGTGTGAGGGATGTGATACTGCTCAGGTGCCCAAACCGAAGCAGGTGGTTTTCTTAGGGGGGGCACAACCGGAGCCTTCGACCTAAAGGTCTGATCCACAAGGCAGTAGAGCATTGTAAGGAGATTCAGTCCCATGGTAGCCAGTGTCCAACGATTGATTCATACGCCATTTGTTCCCTCAAGATACAGGAGCCCATGTGCACCATTGATTTAGAATCAGGGTTTTCCAACTCCCCTACGTGGACTTCCTGTGTCCACTAACCCGGTTAAAGCGCCGGGTATTCGCTTTTCATCCTCTCACTTTCGTGAACAACACCCCCGCCACGAGAAGGCAGTGAGTAAGACTTCCCTGTTAGAGGCTATATACGCTTGGCCATGTGAGAGCAATTTAATATAATTAAAAGTCAAATGCTTTAACTATTCCGCACCATATGAGCTATGTATTTTTATGACATTTCACTAACATTTATAGATAGATAATCTTGATTGAAAAATAATAGTCACTTATTTAAAGATAAATATTATCTTTAACACAACAATGTTTGCTTTTTTCAAATGAGAAATTACAATAAATATGAATGTCAATTAGTGTAGAACCATATGTGAATCTATATAAATATATCAACATATTGATCAATATCCAATTGGATAATTAAAAACAAATTTGTAAACATTTTAGATTTCGGAACAATTTGTACATTGACCTCAATAATATGCCTAATGTATAATGGTTATTGTATATGGTTATTCTTGATAGTACCAATAGTTGTATATTGAAATTAAAAAAAAATAATTGATTTCTGATTTTATTACGGCAAACAAGAAAAAAAGAAGTATGCTTTTCATAGTTGAAAGCGTGAGTCAATTGAAGCAAGACTACCAGGGAAAACCTGGAAGCACTGGACGGCCGTCTCGTTCTATTGTGGGACTCCTCAGCAGTGCGTATCCACAACCTCGCCTCGTCCCACAATAGGACGAATTGGCCGTCAAGTGCTTCCAGGTTTTCCCTGGTGGTCTAGCTTCAATTGATTCACGCTTTCAACTATGAAAATACTAAATCTCCACAAAAACCCCCCTTCTGAGAAAAAGTATGCTTTTGTAGTATACTTTAATTCAATTGCATTAGTCAGGATATTATTATTATTATGATTTGAACAAATAAATAATGGTACAAGGGGGCAAAAGATATTTATGCGTCACACAAAAAATTGTCATTTCATTCAATTGTGTGAGGGCTTTAATACTGCTTGGGTGCCCAAACCGAAGCAGGTGGTTTCCTTAAGGGGGTCACACCCGGAGCCTTCGAACTAAAGGTCTGATCCACAATGCAGTGGAGCATCGTGAGGAGATGAAGTCCCATAGTAGCCGGTGACCAACGATTGGTTTATACACCATTTGTTCCCTCAGGATACTGGAACTCGTGTGCACCATTGGTTTTAAATCAGGGTTTTCCAACTCCCCTACGTGGATTCACCGTATCCACCAACCCGGTTAAAGCGCCGGACATTCGCTTTTCGTCCTCTCAATTTTGTAAACAACACCCCCGCCACGAGAAGGCAGTGAGTAGGACTTCCCTGGCAGAGTTTAAGTTAACTCATTCACTAGATACTTGGATATGAGCTACATTATGTATAATAGTTAATAATACTAGCTTGTTGCTCAAACAGAAGTAGATGGAGCAGATTTCGGACTTAAAACTTAGTGCTTGAAATGTGAACGTCTTAATCAATAATCTAGTTCTCTACAATAAAATAGTAGTTTGTAACTAATATTTCTATTACTGACACTAGTAGTTTTTCTGATCCGTGCAATAGTTGTAATTCTTAGTTGGAGATATTTTGTAGACGAATTGTAGCAAAATCGGTCCCAATGACAAACTCGGATTCATTCTCGATTTTCAATAAATATTAAGTTAAGTATGGTTTTTCATTTTTTTTATTCTAAAATTTTATTTGCATTTTGTTGATGACTGAATCACATTTCGCTCAGTATTTCAATCATTTACATATCAACATGTCAATCAATCAGCTACAACGTAGGACCAGGCACATTTATGCATCGGTCCAAGTTGCCATACCTCGTTAGTACAACAAGATGAACACCGGATTCATAGAAATAGTTAATTTAGTGGTGGTAGTATATAAAAGATAGGTTGTATATAAGGATATAGTATAGGAAGGAAGAAAGTTATGAATCAATTTTAATCTCAAGGTTTAAGGGAAGATAAAGATTGTATACACCTACGCCATTGTGATCGATTCTGAGCCATGTCACCTAGAGTCTCCAACCATTGGTTACGATAGTCACGCGGACCCCAACCAGGTAGTCTGCATCTGCCAACATGGCTCAGGCTAGAAGTTAGTGACTTCAAGCACTGATGCCACGTTTTGGTTTGACCGCCCCTAACTCTCTTCCAACCATCACCTACACTAGTCAGCATAGCGCGTCGTGGTAATCGGTGTTCAGGCATACGTAATACGTGGCCCAACCATCTCAGTCGATGAAGATTCATGACCTCATCAACTGATTTACCATCATTCCCTAATACCCTGTGTCTAACTTCACTATTACTTACCCGGTGATCCCAGCAGATGCGAGCAATATTGTCAATAATGTGAACACAATGAATGCATTCGAAAGAAAAATCATGTCTCGAACTAAATGTGGTGTTTTTTGACGCTTGTCAGCAAAACGAGCACACTCAAAACTGATATTTTCTTTAATCTTTTATTGAAAATCTCTTCAAAAAATAAATTATGATATTATATCCCTTAGTTCTAAAACAAAATGTTTGTATATTGATCATTGCAATTCCATCAGGGTAAAAAGTTACAGTCAATCATTGGACAATGTGATGATACACGCACATACAGGCAGATAAGTAGCATTTGAAATGAGTGATTATGTATGATATATCACCAGTAATACAACTAAGAATGCATATATACTTTTATATCATAGAAGTTAAATACTTTATTTATACAATTTGAACTGTTCATATGTAACATATTTAATTTTGAGCTATAATTCTCTTTTAGATTGATAAACACTGAATTCGAGTGCAAGAAACACAGCAACTATTAATCAATACACTTATGATTCGCATAAAATTATGAAGTATTGTTTATATGTAAAATAAAAGCATCACAGATAAGTAGATAAACTAGTATGAAGTAATTGATGTTTGTTGGACCACGATTAAAACCTGGAAGCATAGGACAACCGTTTTGTCTTAATATGGGACTTGTCAACAACGCATATTCTTGACTCGGCATCCGGAAAAAACCTGAGAGCTTTGATTTCGCGCATGAACACTCAACCTATAGCCGATTGGACCAGCGTCCAAGAATGTTAAAATTTAGCTCCAATTGATTCACAATATTGCGCAACCAACTTCCATTATTCATTGTGGATAACTATCTCACACCCGATATGGTTGAACTCTACTGCTAACAGCTTCTTACTAAACCTCCAGAAGTTGTAAACCGTTGGACTGCTAGCTCAGTGGCCTAGATGTTGTGTTCACGCGCGAAACCGAAGCTCCCATGTTACATTACCGGATGCGGAGTCAAGCGTATACTGTTGAGAAGTTCAATACTAAGACGAGACGGCCGTTCAGTGCTCCCAGGTTTTTAATGGTGCTCTAACTAAGACGAGTTTGTGATTTAAAGGCTGACAAACATTATTTGTTATAAACAATTGATCAATAGGCAAATGTAAGTTAATTTCAATTGAAAGGAAAGTTTCAAAAGAGAAATCAGTCAGTTAGTCATATGTAGCGTAAGGATCTCATAAAAAATATGGGACTGAATGGAGCCATTGAATATTACTGCAAGAAACCTATTCTATCTAATTATACACTAATGTTTAAATCTTCAGTTGTCTCATCAAACCAATTATAAGATCTAGAGAATAGACTGATTAGCCTAATGGATGACGCGTTGAGGTTTTCATCTAAAGGTACTGGTTTCGAATTCCAGTGCGAATATGAACTCAGCCGACGATTCCAAAGTGAGATGGGACATGCTTTCTGAATTCCAAAGCTAGCCATAATTTAACATTTCTATAAAACTTGTGACAAAAAGGTTATATAGAAGCAATTCGAACAGAATGGACATACGTCGACAAAGATTGATCAGAATTCAATCCGAAATATAAATAACAGGATGATTTGAGCCTTTATTAATAATCGGGGTTTTCCAAATCCCCGAGGTAACTTTCCATGTCCATCGAGCCGGTTAAAGCGCCGGACATTCGCTTTTTGTCCTCTCAATTTCGTATACAACACCCCCGCCACGAGAAGGCAGTGAGTAGGACTTCCCTGGCAAAGGCTATATACGCGTGGCCATGTGAGAGCATTTGGAGAGGGAGAGCGGACTCTCCCCACTCTCAGCCGTACCAGGGCATTCGGGAGAATACTCTAGAATCTTTTCATGTAAAAACCATAGATATACTAACGTTTTTTTATAGTGCTTCCTACTTCCGTCTACCCTTGTTATTTGGAATATAATTTCGATCCTGTTCAACCGTGTTCTGATTTGGGGACTTGTCGAGTAAATTGGTGCCCAAGAATACTGAGCAATAGGAATGACTGGGTCGTAATAACAGAAATCATAACAGGGTAGCAAGACGAAACTAACAGGATAATGAGCAGCAAAGGAGTCAATAATAATGATGACACTGAACATAAAAAGAACAGAATATATGGTGTGTGGTGAAAGAAACATGAATATTCCTGGAATGACACGATACGGAGACTCATAATCTACGAAAATAAAGAGCATAAACAAATCTGCATTAATACGGTCGATTTTAAAGGACATCACCGATTGGTCTAAAACCATCGACCACGATTAATGCACGCGACTAAATGATTAAATATACCTAGCTTGGGTTCATTCAACAATAAACATAGAAAACTCTGTACGTTTCTCTTCCTAGACTAAAGGAATTCAGAATATAAATCACGAATTTGTGGAGAAATTAAATAGGAACGAACAAAGTCAGTTGTTATGGTGCAGAAACATGCTTACGAAGTCCTTGTAACTACAACGAAAATGAATATGCAAATAGCAAAACATCGTTTTTGATCGTAGCACCAATAAAGAATATTCAGTGAAAACATTTCAGTAGATAATAATACAATTCATAATTTACGAAAACGTAATATTACAGTAATAAGAGGAGTGGTTGGTTGGAGGGATTTTCACCAGCTACTCGCCCCTAACAATATACAGATATATATCAATATATTTTTAGTATTGTCATTAGAGCAGAAAAACGACAACTGAGAGACAAGAAGAGGTCAAACAAAGAATACGGACGTCAATATGAAGGCACACAAACATACAAACTACATACACACTCACCTTAGATGGAACAAGGTCAACCAAAGTCAATAAACGATTACGTGATATACTTGTCTTTCGGTGATGATCAATTAATTGATTAATGGAATCAAATTTGGATAACCAGAAGAAATATTTTCCAGCTTCATCCTGAAGTACTTTAAAATGAAGTACTTCACAACCTTGTCTAAAGTATAAAAAGTGGATATGAATGAATGAGAAACATACAAACGAAAAACCCTATATTGAGTAAAAAAAGGCGGGTACTAAATAATGTGAGTAGAAACTGAAGTAAAATGAAGCGAATCAAATAGATGATGATAAGGATATTTTAGGTAGATTTGGATGGTAGTTAGCAGGACACGCGTTTCATCCTGTTTGGAACCCGTCAATTAGATGCACCTGTACCTGTGTTGATGTTCACATCTGGACTTGAACCTAGAAGCTTTCGCTCTAAACGCTCACCGCTTTACTCACTTAGCTACTGAGTATAGATAGTCACTGATTTGTGTTGGTTGTCCGAATCTTCCAGTCGATGTTATGGACTTCAATCGATCACACTTTTTAAAGACATATATGCATACCATGCGAACTGCCTCGATACTTTGATGTTTAATCAACATAAAGGGAATAGTGAGGGTTTTCGTGTTACAAATGGCAAGAAGAAACAGTTCATAAGTCTTTAAAAGCCTTATTATCATTTCTAAAAGTTAAAATATTAAATTGCATTTTTATTTTATTTTGGAGATAGTTTCGATGAAGTTGCATTCTATAGGCTTGTGTAACTGTTTTTGCTAAACATCATAAGAGCAAACTTCAGAAAGAAATGAGACACTGCAAGTTTTCTAAAGTTTGTTCTGTTGACACTGAATATAGTTCGGTTGTTATAAATCACATGGTCTAGAGGACACAATATCACCAGAATCATCATACCAAGTCACAAATGTCTTGTCGCATACTGACATTAACTAAATAAACATTGATGAGAGGACCATCGATAGCTTTTTGATTGTATTTTTGGACTTTGCAGCAATACGCGAATATAATTAAGCCAGGGATTGAATCCAGTGTCTTCAAGTTTCGCAGAGGACACATTAAACTCGAATTGGAATCCAATGGTCGGGATATTGAGGCACTAACCATTTAGCGATATAGTGCTGTTGTTCTTTATTACCATTGATCACGACTCAGTGGTCACTTGTGAAAAGCTTGAACTACACCAACCATTAAATTTTGTACTTAAACTTCGATGATCCATCTATAAGACAGTAAACTAGTAAATATATGATTAAAGTTTGGTTAATATTTGTGAGGATCGTATTTAATTCAAAAATGGTTTTCGTTACAAACTGGCGCCAGCTGGAAAATTACTAGAAACGAAAAAGGATTTAAATGTGTCGATAGTTCTTTCCTTCCTCTGTTTTCATCAACCTTATCTTTGAACAACATAGATCATGAAGAAATAATAACTCTAATAACTTGAATAAAGCACAGAATTCCAAAGAAAAAGTCCAATAATGAATTTATTCAACAAAACTAATGATTACAAAACTACATCTTTTATACATTAAGTCTCAGATTCAAATGCCTCAGGTAGTTTCACCGATCTTTGAATAAAGTTTTCCTTGACTCTACGTAAACTACTCGTATTTCATAAATGAGTTAGATCTTTTGAACTACACAGGTAAGCATATATAGCTGGCCGATTAGTGTATACAAAAAACTTAATGATATTGTTCATCGATACAATTTTGTAACATTTTTAAAGTAGTTAAACGAAAAGGCGTTATTATAGAAGAGGGTTTTATTATTTCATGAACGAAATGTTTGATTGTTAAAATAAATGGAAATAATGTTGCTGACCAACAGATGATATGAGGTGTGGTCAAGTGATGGTAACTCATGAGACTGAATGATTGATGTAAGCCTCACGAATGATCAAAAATCAAAGATAATACCACTATTCAAATAAATAGATTATTTAATGTAATAAAATTGCATGCCTATACACTAAATATTAACACAAAATAAACTGGCTGGGATTTGGTTGGATTACCAGTACTATATGTGTAGCTATATAATAAGTTCATTTCATTTGGGCCTACTGTATTTGTATCAAGATTCAGTCAACCACCAACCCAAGATTTACGGGACTACCATTACAAATTCACCTCATAAATATGGTTGAAATCGATTAAATCAAAAACCAGGAGTACAACAATGGTGAGTAATGTAGTTTAGTACCCAGTTACAGGTCAGTTGAAGATAGGCTATAAAGAACCAGAAATAAGTGGCTATCATAACAAGAATGTTAGATAGATAGCGTGACAGTCGAAAGCTGGTGCTAAAACTGCCGGCATGTATGGTGCTTGAACGGTTGATGTTGACTTTTTAACCACTTCCTATTCCCTAGAAATCGTCTACACTTGAGCCCCGAACAGAAGATAGAAGACGGGAAGTATGAAAAAAAGTTTTACTTTTAAGGTTAATTTAGATATGTAAAACAAGGATATTTGTAATTTTACGTATGACCCTGATATTCTAAAAGCTTATGGAAACGTGGTAAAATTAGCAAAATGGTAGTTAATTATTCAAATGAGATATGATGCATAATCTGTTACTTCGTAAAACCCTCTTGAAAGTTTTTAAAAATATTTTTATGAAGAGTAACGACTCTATATGTCTTACCGAACTCCTGTAGGGGGTGTGGTTTCTAAGCCCACTATTGGTAAGTGCTTATGTTAATAGATCACGAAACTGTAGTGCCAGAAGATCATAACTCGAGTTTATAATTTAGTGAATAAAGTAAATAACAATCAAAAGTATGTGATCTTTCATACACTGCCTCTGAATAAAGACGAGTTACACACTGATTAATATGATAAGACATCAATCTTCTAAAAACAAATTGAAGAGATAATACTTGATACACAGTTTGAGTTGATCAAAAGCCGACTACCTACAGTCGTATTCAGTGGCCGCAAATAATATCAACAAACTTTAGACTGGAATATTTCCTTATGTTCGTACATTACTTCTTCAAGATCTTAACGTAGTAGTCCTCTAAAATATTATTAAGTAAATGTCCTAAACACTCATGCAGTACGTTTACATAGTATCCACTACTTAGTGGAACTAAAAACGGGATATTAGTAGTACTAAATTGGAAGAAATATATAATACTTTTTAGCACAGTGTGGTTTACAGATGAAAAGAAAAATATTTACTTGCCAAGTGAGTTACATTTCATTTTCTCACTTCAACTAAATCTTATTCAAAAGTAATTTTTGTAATCACTAACCAAGTGATTTTAAATACGTCTACAATAGCTGTATTTTCATTTTAAAAACCCAGAGTTGTATTGTGAATCAAACGATTTAAGCTGATTATTAATTATGAGCAGAAAACTAGGTACTGTTTGACATCAGTTATTCACCCATAAACAACTTAGAACATGGTACATGCATATATCCTTTCAAATTGCACAGCAGTACAGAGAGACATCAAAGTACTGTAGGTAGGGTATTAATGGTAGTAGTAAAGATTAAGGATTAGAAAATATTTGTGAAAATAAAGGTTTGTGGAGTAAAAAAGTATGAGGTAATTTATGAACTCGAGACCTAAGGTAGCACAAAGAAAAAATACACCTGTGTTGTTGCGAATGATTTTGATGTGTCACTCAGCGTCTCCAAGGACTGGTTACAAAAATCATATGAGCACCAACCAGGTAGTCTGCATCTAACTACAAGTTTTAGTCCAAGAGCTGACCATGTCATAGACTGATACCACGTCTAAATTTGGACTCATCTAACTTTACTTTAACCTACTCCTACATCAGACATCATCATGCGTCGAAGCGGGGTGTAGTTAGACATGTGTAATATATGTTCCAACTACCGACTGACGAAGATTCCAAACTTTATTAACTGATTTCTTATATTTACCCTGTATCTTATATTTAACCATTTTGCTCACTTGATGAACCCGAAATACACCAGCACTGCCTTAAAGGCAATATATAATCAGGCACTAGTGACCTACGAACGCCCTCTAGTCCTCAAAGTTGAACAGAGCAAACTAGTGCTCAGTATACTATCTCTTTGGTTGGTAGATAGACAATGACCAAGGAATTGTTAGCTAACTGACGAATCTCCTTTTAAATATTCTACACGACGTTTAGACATATGACCGAAGCTGTGATCTACATGCATCATTTTTTTGGCCAAGGTCAATTATTCACATCTTCCAGTTGGGATGGCATCTTTATTTCCGATCAATTTGGCCTAAGGTTTAATACACAAGCCCATACTTAGGTTCTGAGTAAAAAGACACGTTCAGAATGGGGGAAAGGATAACCCGAGAAAGCATGTGTCAAGTGATTATCTGGAACTGAGATGTTTTTATTGAACAATACCTACTTGACAGACAAACTAAATCCTTTCCCGTCTGCTTCACTTTGACGCAATATAAAAGCTCCATCAGGTTGCAAATGTTGTGCTGTTTCTTGATCAATTTCTTGAAGTCTTTCTTCGGCTTCCATACGACTACAGTGTCGGATGTACCAAGGGTGAGGACGCATTGTAATGTAATTGCATGGTATTAAACCTGTTCGGCCTTCCTGTTCAGCTAGGTACCAGTTAGGATCGTCTTCCACACAGAGTATCTATGAAAGTGAGTGATACTTATGTAACGCAATTGGATAATTTTTGAATGTTAAAAGCTGAGGTGAGTATGAGTGATTTTAAAAAAATGAGACAGGTACTGACAACGTTTATACACGACACTACTTAGATAACGAAGTAAGCTATTTATGGTATATGGATAACATATGTCTTAACCTTTTATTAAACACAGTAACAATAGCCTGACTATACAACTGAGCTTCACTTTGTTTTAAGATCTAAAAGATTAATCCACTTGTGAAAAACAATTAGTCTCATTCATTCTCTATAGTTGTCTTGTGACTGTACGTTTGCCTTTTATACGAGCATAAGGCTCTTTTTTTACCCTGTAATAGTCCTTCCAAGCTCTTAGAGTTTAACAATAATCCAAGGGAAAGTGACTCTCACTCTACAAATTATCGTGACACAAAGTATCAGTGGATGAAATGAGGAGTAAAATAATATAGATATAGTTCAAACAAAAATATTGGAGATTTGGGAATATTCACGAGGGATATCTTAATTAGGCTGAAGTTGCTTTAGTACATTCATAACAACGCTCGGACTTCCAACGCTTACATGAATGACGATATAGAATCAGCAAAGGAAAATACATTTGACCACCATAATTCAAGTCAAACCCTGTATAGGGTACAAACAAACCTTAGAAAGAAGTCAAGAGAATTATACCATGATAGTATGGTTTAAATAAGTTGATATAACTCACTAACCAAATGTACGGATATTAACACATGGTACTGAGCCATTTTTTAATAGAGGCACTACTCGGCTACTTGAGATGAAATAGATAGAGGGTGTTTAAGCTTCATAGAAAGACCACCACTGAGTCTTACCGAACTAGTCAGTTACTTTAAAGAGCTCCAATATTCACAGATGTCATGGATAACTTTCCGTTGGAGTAAGGATCAATAGCATACTTGGTTGTTGTAGTTTTTTCGCGCTAAATTTACGACAGTGAAACATCTAGTTCGTAAATCAACAGATCTTTGTTTATAATTTGGAAAATTTAGCAATGATCTGCAGAATATGAACACACATTGCAAGAAAGTTTTGCAAACGGTCATGGAAATGCAGTCGGCTATTTAGCTGATGAGTGTTTAAAATCAGACTACACAAAAAAGTAGCAGTTAAAACCTTAACAGGACTTGAGGTTTATAGGTATACCAAACTAAAGACATGTGGGTGAATAAGTAGAGTAACTTCCAGTGTTTCCGGACATTTCGATACGGAGTGAAATACGAAGACAGTTTTCCATTTATCCATTAATAGGTTTTATTGGGAAAGCCTCATTTATTACTGTACTTCGGATCAGAAGTATGGATATAACAGTATGATGAAAAGTAAACACCTAGTACCTAGACCCGACCATTCGGTGTGGAGGGCCCACTCAGTGGGCTAGGAAGACTTAGTCACTATAAGCTAAACATATGAATATACAAAATTATAACACTAAAGCATATTATAGAAGTGCGCCACATTGTGTTATCTGATTGTGTAATCTTATCTACCTTTAAAAGACTTCCTTTTTTAAATCCAAGTTCATCTTCGGCGTTGGCAACAAAGTCATAGCTAGCCTCAGCCTCCATCCCAAAGCGAAGTAACAATCTACCACGAAGCACTTAGGTACAAGGTCAATGAGAAGGGGTAGCGGGATATTTGTAACTATTAAGAGCTAAGGTTATGTAGGAATTATACGTCACACTCTGAGTGTGAGGATTGATATTACTCAGCCAATTATGTGAGTTTTTACCATGTGAACTTTTCTCATATACATGAACTTAGTAGATCTGAGTGCATGAGTGAAATATCTTGTACCTGAACACTAAAAAGAACATTACAGTGTAGCTAGCTCTGTAGCTCTGTGTTAAACATTGGATGCTGATCACATTAGTTTTAATGGACTCATTTAGCTGGTAGCGCTCGGTCATGCATCCGCACCAGATCACGGTTCGGAACGGCGTGCTCAACGTCTCGTGCAATCACTAGCCAGTTTAGACCAGTCACTTCTCGGTATATTGATAACCCATCAAATATATCTTCAACCTCCTCGCTTCTGACTTTTAATTTCACTGAGTGAACACGACCCACTTATAGAAGGCGTTACTGGTAAACTGTTGTCAAACTACATTAGCCGTGGTATCTTCATTGGTAAGCCCGACGTGATCTGGTACACCGATCTATTAACTGTGAGTCTGTTTCTTTTTGGAACTTCATAAATCGTTGCTTTATTTTAAATTTTATATATTGTGATTTTTCGGACTTTTTGGATACATGTTATTTTTTACTTCGTCCATTATCATACTTGATTTTTCACCATGACGGAACAGACACCCAAATTACTTAAGCTAAAGACTATGCCCCCACCTTCGTTTCAACTAATGCCTTTCTGGCCGGACAACATCGAAGCCTGGTTCTACTACGTAGAGGCCGATTTCTATGAGCACGGAACGACTGATTCACGCGTACGTTTCCTCGTGGATGTAAAGGCACTACCACCCGAATTGAACAGGTACGTCACACCTAGTATGTTTACTAGTGATGTTTTGGAACCTTACGAAACTCTGAGACGTTCGATTCTTAAACGCGGAGATCAAACCGACTGACAAAGGTTAGATCAACTCCTTAATAGTATAGACCTGCAACATGGTTCTGCGGCAGACATGTTGCTAGGGGTGACAGAAGTTATCGGCCAAAGAACTTTCAATGATGGCCTATTCAGACAACTTTTGTCGTCTAAATCTCCTCAACAGGTGCAAGCAGTAGTCGTCTCTCTTCAAAACAAAGTCATAGACGAACTGGCTGCATCTGCCGACCGCATCCTCGAAATCACGAAGGCCTCTAATGCCGAGGTGTTTTCAGTCAAAGAGAAGCAGTATAACATTTTGGATCTGTGTCCTATACTGACACGTTTCCTTCGACTTCATAATGACCGTAGACAGTTGCAAACCCTGCGAAGAAGCACTTCACGTAGGCGACCTTTCTCCAGACGAAGAGAGACGGATAATCCTGACTGGTGCTGGTATCAGAACCAGTATGGGAGGTCTTCCAGAAATTGCAGAAAACCCTGCAATTATACGTCCTTACAATTGACCGACATGAAAAACAATTCGCGAAACTTCCTAGCTGGTACGCGTTAATAGCAACCGTAGCCGGCGAACATAGCCGCCTTTTATACGTCACAGATGTGATCACGAAAGTTCGCTACCTCGTCGACACTGGAGCAGAAGTTAGCGTTCCTCCTGCGAATTCTAATGACCGGCTTTACGAATCTGTTTTAAACTTACAGGCGGCAAATGGAAGGCCAATCGCCAAATATGGAAAAAGGTACGTTTACCTGAACGTGGGTTTACGCAAACCCATTCACTGGATCTTTGTTGTTGCAGATGTTTCTATGCCAATCATTGGTATAGACCTGCTACATCACAACCTACTCATGGATACGCGCGAACGAAGGCTAGTAGACGGAAACACTAATTTATCTCTTTGCGTAACTTCCTTTTCTGGTTGCAGATTATCCCCAGTCACACTTGGGCACACAATAGACCCATTCTATCAACCATTGTTCGATAAGTACTCTGGAATATATCAACCGCAACCGAAATTGCAGTGTGTGACCAGCAATTTTACACATCACATCACGACTACAGGACCACCTGTAATTTCGAAAGCACGCCGATTGACTCCAGAAAAGCTGAGGTCGGCCAAAAACGAATTTGACCACATGATAGAGATAGGAATCATTCGACAATCAAATAGCGCATGGGCATTTCTTTAGCACATGGTCCCTAAAACGGACAGCAACAATTGGCGTCCAACTAGTGATTGTCGGCGTCTGAATGCAGAAACCATTGCCGATCGTTACCCCCTGCCTCACGCTCAAGATTTAATAGCTTCCTTGAAATGTACAACCGTCTTTTTGAAGATCGACCTGGTTAAAGCCTATAACCAAATCCCTATGGCTACTGACGATATTACAAAAACCTCTATCATAAATCCCTTCGGACTCTACGATTTTTTACGAATGCCTTTCGGTCTAAGATATGCTGCCCAGACATTCCAAAGGTTCATCGATGAAGTTTTCCGAGGTCTCAACTTCGTACATGCGTACGTTGATGACTGTCTGATAGTAAGTCCGGACGGAGAATCCCATCTCAAGCATCTGAATATTGTTTTCGGACGACTTCAAAGGCATAGCATTACTGTAAACATTCAGAAATGCCAAATCGGAACCAGATCCTTGGACTTCCTGGGACACACTGTTGATGCTCTAGGCATCCGAGACCTCTTAAAAGCAAAGTGGCGGCCATTCTGGATTACCCAGAACCGACAACAATTGAGTAACTGCACTCATTTAATGGCCTTTTAAGTTTCTATGGACGGTTCATACCAAAATGCGAGTCCCTTGTGAACCCGCTAACCGACTAACTTCGTGGAAATGCGAAATCCATTAATCTGGATCACACTGCGCGAAAAACATTCTTCACAGTTAAGGAACTTATCGCAAAGGCAACCACGCTGGCGCACAAGGACATTCAAGAGCCCATAAGTATTGCAGTAGATGCATCCGACTCAGCAATCGGGGGAGTCTTACAACAATGGTTTACCCACACCTGGCAACGTTTGACACTCTTCTTGAGACGGTCTCTAGACACCGAACCGAGGTATAACACTTTTGATGGGGAAGTCCTAACCATGTATTGTTTTGTCCAGCAATTTCAACACTCCTTTGAAGTCTGAGAATCCACTCTTTCCGCCGATCACATACTTTTTACCTTCTCTTAAAACTCATCTTAACACAAGTACTCACCTCGACAGTCTCTGCAACTGGACTACATTTTGAAGTTTACTTCGGATATACAACACATTTTTGGAGCAAACAATGTAGTTGCAGACGCTTTGCCTTGTATAACTTCCTTGAACAGTTTCCAAGGAATCTACCTTCTTAAACCCGCCCAGCTTCAAAAAGAAGACACTAAGAGGTATCCTCAACAACCCTTAAAGTGAGCATTAAACAGATGGTAACAGTTTGGGAAACCTTACTATGTGACAAATCTACAAGTAGGGATCGCCCAATCGTACCAAAACACTATCGATGCAACGTCTTCAATACATTGCACAAACTGTCTCATCCAGGTGTTCGTGTATCCATCAAGCTTATAGCAGAACGGTTTTGCTGGCCTGGTATGAATAAAGACGTAAAGGAGTGTGTAGGCTGCCAGAAATGTAAGGCACTTAGACAAAACATGTGTCCCCTAGTCTCATTCTGAATTTCCGAAGCTCGTTTCGACCATGTCCATCTTGATTTGGTAAGACCTTCACCAGATCCAGATGAGAATATTAACTTTTAACTTGTGTTTCACATGATGACAAGAAGTAGTACTCATTAAGAACATTACTGCTGAAACAGTGGCCCACACGTTCATCAAAGGATGGCTAGCGAACCTCGATTGCCTTTCAACTATTACTGCAGACTGTAGACACCAGTTCGAGTCTTTTATCTAAATAGACTACTGGGAATAACACGATCCCGGAAGCCGCCTACCACCCACAAGCAAATGGGTTGGTAGAACACTTTCACCTGAACGCGAAATTTGAATGTGGTGATACCTCTTCAAGTGATTTAGAAAATTTTGGACTTCTTTTGTAGGCTGTAATATTTCGAGATTATCATGCTATCTTGTATACCGGGCGCATTTTACCTCAGGAAAGTAATTTTGACGGACGCTTACCGGCTAATACATACATATCGCGGACTTCGTTTCCTGCATATGTTATATAAGTCCTCAGCGTTTGACATTGGCGCGTCTTTATCTTGGGATTATACTAACTGAAATATAGATATTCCATTAATAGTTATTCTCTTACGTTATAACTGAACACTTTATATCTGAAGTACATTATATACTCATAGTTTCTGATCCTAGTATTAATCCGGTTAGTACTTAATAGTGACTATATATTCGAATTACCTACTTGGTTAAACGAGCTCTCTACTCACCCAGCTTCATATTATGGCAGGTAACTTTATTATCACAGGAGTTTCGCCAACTTTTAAGCCAAGTAAAAGGTCAGAATCTGTAATCCCTATAACTGAGGATTTAGTAACTAGCAATGTTAAACCTTTGTCTTTTGAACCCTTTGAGTCTTATACAAAAATATCACTATCACTACCCGATTCTTCACGTAACAACCCCTCTACCTCTTTGTACAGTATGCCAGAGATGAGACTGGTCGATATAAAAGGTTCAGTACCCAAACGCACTAAAACGTCAACACAGTGTACCAGACAGCATGCTTTACTAAGGCCCAAATGTAAAATTTTAAAAACAAAGATTCCAATAGTTTATCTCACACATACGAAAACACTGATCGATATAGTACTTATATTCGTCTGTTACAAAACTCTAGCCAACACTAATGGTAGACTTAACCAATCAGCATTTATGCGGCCCTAACACTGGTAAATATCGTGAACAACACATCAAAGCTGAATGTATTTCAGAATTTGTGGATGAAGAGGCGACATAAAGAGTGATGTCTTCCTACAATGCAGCTGCATACAATCTCCCTGACCATACACAGCCAA